TTCTTTGTTCGTATATTTAAAACTCATTCGTTCTCTTCACTTGTGACTCAGTTTTGCTTCCTCCTTCTCTCTCTTTCTCTCTCTCTCTCTCTCTCTCTCTCTCTCTCTCTCTCTCTCTCTCTCTCCTTCTCCGTCTATATATAATTTTTATATTCTTTATCCGTATATTTAAATCTCATTCGTTCTCTTCACTTGTGACTCACTTTCGCTTCCTCATTCTCTCCTTCGCGCTCTCTCTCTCCTTCTCTCTATATATATCTAATTTATATGTTTATATGTTATCGTTATTCGTTATTTATATCGTTGTATGTTTATTTCATTCTTTACCTCCTCTTGTGTGGCTTTATCATTTTCGCATTCACTCTGTTTTTTTCTCTTTCTCTCTCTATCTTTTTTTCCTCTACTAATATTAATACTAACCCATGTGTATTTTAGTTGGTCCTAATTAACCGAAGTAATGATTTAAATTGATTTATATTTTTTATATAAGTTTAATTGTGATGAAAAAATTAATACCACGAGAGGGATACTTTGCAAAAAATCAATTTAAATCATTACTTTGGTTAATTAGGAACAACTAATGTACATATGGATTAATATGTATATTAATTACCGAAGTACTTGCGCTACGCTAACAGCGGCTGCTTCATGAGTCGCCGAGAATCGAAACCGATAACTTGAACTTTGAATATATGGCTAAAACTGGAAAATTTGGCGAAGTTGAGGTTGAGATGGGTCGGTCTCCCGAGCGAAGTCGAGAGAGCTGACTGAAGTGGTTAAGGCTCAACACTTTACATAAAAATCATAAATCAATTTAAGTGATACTAATGAAATAACAGTCATTGCTATGCATAAAATTTTGGGACGATATGCGAAACTTCTCTTAGAGATGCGTTGCACTTGAAAATTATAACGTCAATTATCAAACCGTGGAATTGTGTGTTTACTAGATGTAAAACAGAAAATTGATAAGGTTTATTTTATTTAAAGGAAAAAAGAAGAAACAATTTGACCACGATGAAAGCTCCTTGGAGTACACATCTTAGATGGGAGTGGCTTGTGAAAGGACCGTCCGTCCTCAATTACCCGGCAAAACAACCTCAGGCCAATCTTCAAATTAAACTGCCAACACAGAAAGGCCTCTTTACCCCTGTTGGCACTCGCATTCCACCACGGCGTGCCATTTTTCCCATTTCTCTGTTTAGATTGTTTTGTTATTTGTTTTTTGTCGTGTTGATTTTTTTTTTTAGGGTTGTTGTTACACCGTGTCCAAAAACACCTTTTACACGCTCGGACCACACGTGTCTACAAACCCCTGCACGCATCGGATGAAGAAATCCCGCAAAACTTTCGTTAAAAGGGTTGACGGGGAGAAAAATTGACTTTCGTTCGAGAAAGCGTGTTAACAGGTACAAGTCAAAAATATACAAACTTGTGGGAAAAAAGTGTTCCTGCTGTTTGAATAAATCTTTCGAGCAATTTTTCGCTCCGGTACACACAGATGAAAACGATTTTTGATATCTGACCTATTCAAAGTAATCCAACCGTTTCGTAGTAGAATCAACCTCTTTCTTTTTCGTCGGTGTTTAACTTATTTTAGCAAGTAAACTTCGTAGCTCTTTCTAATTTTACAACAAGTAGAAAAATGAAATATATACAGGTGTTCGGCTACTCGCGTTTCAAACTTTGCCAGTAGATTCTACATTCAAAATGCAACCAAAAAGTCTGAATTAATTATGGCCCGGATCTCAACATTTTCGGAGTTATTCCACTTATTCTGAATTTTTGAGATTCAATGACCTTGCTTTCAAATAAACCATGATCCAAAACTAAAAAAATTTAGACCAATGCGATGGTACCATTGAAAGCTACGTTAAATTTCCAATAAGATCTATTAATACTAAACTTGTAAACGTTCGTCAAATAAGCGTTTTTGTAGCGAGAACATTGAAAAATATTTTTTTTTCAAAGTTGAAAAACTCACTAACGTGATTCTAAACTACTATTTCCAAACCTAGTAATCAGCAAATTTCAGCAAACTTACTCTATTGAATATGCATTTTAGTAATGCAATTGCTTTTTTAATAACTTTTTCCAAAGATGAAGAAATTGATGAAGAAAAGGAATAACCTTGGTTGGAGGATTGGTAAGATAAAAAAATTAATAATAATAAAAAAATAATGGAAATTGTCGAATGAATTTATAAATTTTGTTTTTTGATTTTGACTCGAAATGCTCTCCAATCTCTGCAATGTATTTTCGACGAGCTGCCGTCGCATTAAATCCGCAAAACTCGTACATAAGATGTATATCAGCTTATTCTTCACTAGAAAAGTAACAATAGTGTTAACAAGATATCACATAGATAACTAAAAACGTTTTGAACCATGAAACTTTTATTCCGGAGAATATAATAATGCTAATATCAAAGTTGCAGTCGTGTTGGTAAATAAGTAAACACTTGCACTATTTCGATTTCGAACCCAAATAAAATAACATTTAATAAATTCATTCAAAATTTCTTTAATTTTTTTTTTAATTTTCCACCTTAGCAATGTGTCAGCCGTGAGTTTTTCCCTTTCCTCCATTAATTTCTTCATCTTTGGAAAAGTAGTAAAAAAAAATTAATGCCTAAATAGGATATTAAATGGAGTACGTTTTCCGAAATTTGCTGGTCAATAGATTTGGATATAGTATTTTAGAATCACCATAGTAAGTTTTTCAAATTTCAAAAAAAACAACACTTACTTCACGAACGTTTACAAGTTTAGTATTAACCACATCTTATTGGAAAATTAACGTAGTTTTCAACGGTATCAACAGATTTATTCAAAACCTTATAGTTTTTGAGTTATCATTGTTATGCAAAAAGTTATTAAAAAAGCAATTGCACCACTAAAAAGTATATTAAATGGAATTTGCTGAAATTTGCTGATCACAGGTTTCGAATTAGTAGTTTAGAATCACCGTAGTATGTTTTTCACATAGAAATTTTTTTTTTAATGTTCTCGCTACAAAACCGGTTGTTTCACGAACGTTTATATCTTTAGTATTCATAACATCTTATTGGAAATTTAACGAAGTTTTCAATGGTTTTTTTTTTGGTTCAACTTTTTAGTTTTGAAGTTATGATTGTTTATTTGAAGCAAGTCGTGAAATCTTAAAAATTCAGACAATTGGAAAAGAGAGAGAGAGAGAGAGAGAGAGAGAGAGAGAGAGAGAGAGAGAGAGAGAAAGAGAGAGAGAAAGAGAGAGAGAAAGAAAGAGAGAGAATTGGTAGAAAAATATGTAGAAAGATGGATAAATGTAAAGACAAAGACAAGATAGACATACAACAATAGAAAAAGTGGTAAATAGAGATAGAGAGATAGCAAGATAGATCGATATAAATAAATATATATATATATATATATATTGATATAGATAGATAGATAAATGGATAGCCAGCTAGATAGAGAGAGAGAGAGAGAGAGAGAGAGAGAGAGAGAGAGAGAGAGAGAGAGAGAGAGAGAGAGAGAGGGAGAGAGAGAAAATTGGTAGAAAAATATGTAGAAAGATGGATAAATGTATAGAGAAAGAGAAGATAGGCATACAACAATAGAAAGAGTGATAAATAGAGATAGAGAGATAGAAAGATAGATAGAGATAGAGAGAGAAAATTGGCAGAATAATATGTAGAAAGATGGATAAAGGTATAGACAAAGACAAGATACACATACAATAACAGAAAGAGTCGTAAATAAGATAGGGAGATAGAGGTAGAGATAGATAGATAGATAGATAGAGAGAAAGGGAGAGAATTGATAGAAAAATATGTAGAAATATGGATAAATGTGTAGAGTAAGACCAATATAGACGTACAATAATAGAAAGGGTGGTAAATAGATAGAGAGAAAGAGAGTGTTAGAGAGTGAGAAAAGAACATTAAAAGGGATGTCACAGCCAGATATAAACAGAGATGGCGTGTTTCTGTTAGGAAGTGCATACATAATTAAAGTGTAGTAAATTACGTCTTTCTCATACTCATCGTAATACTGTATCGATTTCTTAATTTCAGTTTTACTCCATTCCGCAAAATATATTTCTCGCTTTCGCTATTTGACAAACATACACCCTAGTTTTTTGTGCTGTTAATAAATTTTCGCATGTTGGTAGAAAGAATTGACTATTGTACATCCCCCAAAATGAAATTTTCCGTTTAACCGTTAAGCGATATTTGAAGTTTAAGGTAGGACGGTCGATGGTAAATTGTTCGCATGGTCATTACCATCGTTATCGTCCTCAGATCCTTTGTCGGCTGTTGGCTGGAAACCCGTAATCGTCCCAGATAGGGGCCACTTCTACGCACAATGCGGACCTCAAGAAATATTGAATCCCCGATTCGACCCACCGTGAGAAGGAACAACATTCGCTTTCCGAGGATCGGTACGCTTTCGTATTTTCACCGATTTTCCTCGCACACACCCTTCAGCAAACGTCCTTTCTGCTGAAAGAAGGCTGCATGCTCGCACATAAGGCAAATCCGGGGACTAAGGCAGACTTCGGTCTCGACTTTCTAAATGTTCGAATTATTTTGACATTTCTGCCCACTGGAGTGATTCCCCTCGCCAAAACATATGATTATACATTTGAAAACCTTTATTTGTACTGTTTTTACAGAAACGTTTAGGGCAAAGTCTACACTTTTTATATACAAATTTGGTATTATGAGATCAATGCTAATTAAAATCGTGTTGTCCACTCAGTTTTTTATTCTTGGTTCTATTATGTTATTGTAAAAAATACATGTTTGAATATTTTAAAATAAACCCAGAGGTTATTAGATAATATTCACAACCATTCTCAGATATATTTCAAAAATTGTATTAAGAATTTATTATTATTTTATATTTTTTTACAAATAGGTTCAAGTATGTACCAAATTTGTGGATCTGCAGAAAGCTACATTCTACATGCGTCGTTAACAAGTTGAAAACATAAAATATGGGATTTTATTTTAAACATTTTTATTTGTTACCATTTCTGAAGATGATCTTCAGAATTTCAAAAACGACCATCATCACAATTCGTTTGTTAAACTCTTGAATTGTCTTAGTTTTCTCAGACGATTATCCACTACGAAACGCAAAATTCCCGAGGATTTCATTTCTTCGTCGGTTAAAAAACAATAACAAATCCCTTATAAACGGGACTCCTTCGGTCGTCGGATCAAGCGAAACGCCACGATCCGAGAATCATTTTGACGTGCTTTGCCCTCTTGTCGACCCTATCGATAGTGTTATTGACCAAAAACCTCTGGAATATCTCTATATTGTCGACGTACACAAAAATGATCACGAGAGGGACGCTCATGGCGAGTCCGCACATCAAAGTCATCGATCGGCAAGAAAAGCGTTTACCTTCAACATGGCAGTCCTGATCGACTTCCGGCAAAATCATGATCTGACGTGATTTCAACCTGATAACACCTGGCATAGCCTCTTGCAAGTATTTGTCGCGGTTTACAAGCTTCAACCGCTTTTCATATTATTCATAAATATCGCCCACAGCTGTTTTATTTTGTTTCCTTTTAAATAATACTTGTCATAAACCATATTGGAAGTTGCCCGTCGTCATTGTTTATAAATGGAAGAGAGTAGTTCGGAAAAAGAACCTTTAGTGGAAGAGGGCGAAGTACCCTCCAGCGAGGGACAAGTCGAAGAAGAGGACTTTGATATTTATAAAGGTTTCGACATTGATGAACCTTTTGACACAAACTGCACAGTAAGCTATATATTTTTATTTTATTAGTGTTATCTTAAATCTACATAATGTTTCCATATATTTATTCAAACAACATTGCCATAAAAGTGCCACCAGTTTAACACTAATAAATAAAATTTTCTAAAAATTAAAACATTTAAAAAATTATTTATTTCAATATGTAAATACGTACAATTTTTACAATAAACACAAACCAGAATATGCTAACTTAAAATATTTTCTCATTGACCTCAGCTGGGAGAATTGTGAAATATTCTCAGTCGGTCTACTAATTAAATCTAAACACTGATGTGCAAAACTTTAAAACAGATTTAGCGACAATTTTGAGTACGTGTCAAACATTTAAAATATTAGTGAGATAAATTAGTAGTTAGATTGTATTATGTAAATTATTTAAAATTTTATTTCTTTTAGAATAATAGAATGAGCGTCAATGTTTAGCTGGAGGCTTGTAGATAGGTTTATAAAACAAAACTTTCTAGCCGCTAATATCTGGTTTTACTACAGGTAGTTCATTTTTACAGAAGCATACACCCATATATTCTTGTTTAATTTTTTTCCTCAATAAATTTTTATTATTGATATATGATTGATTTTTTTAAAGGATAACGACGAGGAATGGAGGATTTTCAACTTATCTGTGGAAAACGGCGAAGAAACTAAATCGCTTGATAACAAAAGCGCTGGAAAAGAATCGAAGGATTCAGCCTCCGAATCAGCCTCCGAGCTGAAGATGAGCCGCGGGGAAGCGGAAGCGAAAAGAGAAGAAACGTCCAAAATGAAGAGTCTCCTGGATTCCAACCACATCCCTTCCCTTATGTCGCTGAAGACGGAGCCGCCGGAATACTATACGAGCAGGAGGCAGGAGCGAAAGTATTACGGGCACAAATGGCGAAATTCGCGTAGCCGAGGTATGTCAATTTTTCAGCAAGTGGCATCGTGTGTCAGACTGTAAGAGTCAATATTACACATATACACATATTTCTTTTAAAAACAAAAACAGAATTTGTATCTTAAAAGGTGAGTTAAAAAGGTGGAAGTAGATTGTTAGACAAATGTGGAGGTAACGAGAGAGAGAAAGAGAGATCGAAAGGGCAGGAGATTGATAGATAGGTAGACAGATCGATAAATAGATAGAGAGCGAAAGAGAGAGAGAACGAGGAGAGAAATGGAGAGAGAGAGAGAGAGAGCGAGAGAGAGAGAGAGGGAGAGAGAGAGAGAGAGAGAGAGAGGACAAAAGGGAGAGAGAGTACATAGACAGTTAAATATGAAGATAGATATTGTGAAGTGTGTATGTAGGTCACAACTTGTAGGTTCACTTCGTGTAAATTACGGTTTTACTCATCTAAAAAGGTGGAAGTAGATTGTTAGATAAATGTAGAGGTAACAAGAGAGAAAGAGAGAGCGAAAGAGCGAGAGATAGATAGGTAGGTAGATAGAAAGAAATAGAGATTAATAGATCGATTTATATATATACATATACCGATAGATAGATAATAGATAAATAGATAGATAGATAGTCAAATAGAGATAGATAGATAGATAGATAGATAGATAGATAGATAGATAAATAGATAGATAGATAGATAGATAGATAGATAGATAGATAGATAGATAGATAGATAGATAGATAAATAAAGATAGATAGATAATTAGAGATAGATAGATAGATAGATAGATAGAGAGAGAGAGAGACAGAGAGAGAGAGAGAGAGAGAGAGAGAGAGAGAGAGAGAGAGAGTGAGCGAGAAGGTGAGGGAGAGAGAGAGAAAAGATAGAGAGTAAAATTGAATTAAACATTTAATTCATAAAAATTCGCAAAATTAGGTCTAATGGATCTTTCTTACATTTAATAAGCATTCGTAAATGAAAATAAGGCAAAACAGATATAATATAAATACAATTTTTGTCCTGTGTACATATGCATATTTTTATTGATGTCGTACAGGTATGACTGATAATCTGATGAGAGGTTTTAGATGTTTTTTTATATTTTTAGATTTACCTACATGATTTTATAACATTGGCTGAATTATTGTAAAGTTTTAAAGTTTTAGGAAAGAATGAATTATAAAAACACTGTGGACGACACAATGGAATTTTCAATGCTATTCGGGAACATGCAAAAGGTTGTTTTTTAACTGTAAAATGAGAAACAATATCAAATAAGTATCTCGACACCACGAGGAAACAAAAATCAAATAAGTATTAGTACTGTTAAGTCATGGAAAATAGTCCAAATTTTGGATCTTAACAAAATATAAATTTTTAAAATGGATAAATTGCGGTATTTTTCATGAATTCTAGAATCACAGTGTAGATTAGATATATTTATAGTAACATATAACTTAGTTTTATGTTCGACGGTTATATTTGAGGGAGAGAGTGACGAGGGAGTGAGAGAGAGAATAGAGAAAAATGGAATGGGGGGAAGAGAGAGAGAGCTAGAGAGAGAGAGAGAAATACATTGATAGAAAATCGGTACTGAAATAAGTGATGTACTTATAATTTTTATACTCAAAAGACGAAAAATTACTGCAAAACCTTTTACATTTTTTGTATTATATTTGTGCATGTTTGCTAATTATCTTACTGCATGTATACTTACCTGGTATCCATTGTGTATAATGACATGGAGAGAAAGAAAAAATGGTAAGACCTCTGTTAATTTTTCTGTTGAAATAATGACTTCCAACATTGTTATACCAGTCATCCTTAAAATATAAGAATATTTTGGGATTGTTACATATCCTGTTTTTGCTTTTGTTTCAGAATACGACCGAGGGAGTCCGTACAGAAATAGAAAAGAGAGCTACGAGGGGAGGCAACAGTTTTACGACAGGAGGAACAAGCCAAGGATTTCTGATTCGCGATTTAAATAAAATAAAAAAACGAATACTGTATAAATGTAAACAGTACTTTAAGCAACACATTGTTTCTTCAAATGTTTCTGTATTGATTAAATGCGCCTGTTAATGGTTTTTCTCCATGGACAACATTTTTTGTAAGAAAAACGCAATGTGCAAGCCATAGGTATTTTCATAGACTGTAACCAAAAGTTGATGAAGATAGCTGGTCTTTACAGAGAAACGATTAAATATTGATAAAATAAAATATTAATGTTGAGATGTGTGTTAAACAATAGATATGTGGGAGGCGTCAGTGGGCACAGCGGTTTAGGCGTTGACACTGCGCTCATCACTGTAAGGTAAAGGTCCCGGGTTCGAATACAGCGGCCCTGCATTCAAAGGCGACATATATACAAATGGGCCTTTTTTTCAGAAAATAAAGATAGGGAAGGATAGTGTAATAAAAAGAGAGAGAGGTTGAGATTGTGAGTGGGGGCGAGAGAGAGTGATACCAAGAGAGAGAGAGAGAGAGAGAGAGAGAGAGAGAGAGAGTGAGAGAGGGTGCGCGAGTTGAAGAGGGCGCTACAAACATATAGACTGACAGATAAACCAATTTTTAACTAATTTTACACATATGTAGCTTATTACGGTGACTCTTGTAAAATTATAACGCAAAATATATGAATACATATATCTTGTTATGTGTTTACGAAAACATTCATACAATTTAATTTCCAGATCTGTTTGATTTGCATCGCTCTTTTATTGAAACCGATACACAGAAACACAATAATAAATTAATAGTTAAGCTAAATTCAGTTGTTGCTTAGTAAGAAAGTACCATCCTCTGATAAAAACACCAGTGGATAGGGCAGGGATCGAACCCGCGACTGTCAACGAGAGAGCGGCACTTTCCACATCAACGAACGCTTATTTTTTTTATATTATGTTTTTACTTTTAAAAAATATTTGTTATTTCGATTATAATTTTACCCTTACCATTAATTTTAGCGTTTCCAATTTATATTAAAAACTAAAAATTCCATACTTGTATCTTCAAAACAGGGAATTTATGGGATTTATTGATTTAGCAGTAATCAGACTAATATCCTCAGGTTTATTAAGGTTATTTACAGAAAAAATTTGTAATAATTTAAATAAATAAAATGATTTCATAAGGGAAAATTATTTCGTTTGCAGTCAAGTGTACTTCACGTGTATCCTTCGAATATATGGTTGAGGAGCAGAGGGCGAATATTGCTGATCCTGGCCAGTCGGTGCGAGTGGAACTTGGTTTGCGACTCCTGTCTGCCCTGCTGCAGTCACTGCGTAAAACGGGGCAGAAAAAGCACCGACGGACCCTAAATCATGCATGGAAGGTACGCTGGAATGCTGGAAAAAAAACAGTTACAATATAATCTCAGTTTACAAGGGAGGCTTACCTGGAGGCTTACCTGATAGTATTGATGAAGAGCGAGGACGCTGGCAATGGCAACGCTGATTTTTGAGACCAGCAGGGCCATCAAGGCCATGAATGTCATCACCATCAACTTAAGAGGGACGAGCGTGTACGCCTTCAAGACAATGCCGATGAGGAATGGAAGAAGAGCTTTTTTAAGCTTACCTGTCAAAAAACAAACAATATAAAATTAATTTTTTGCCTACAGTACCTACTTCTAATAATTCATACTCTTTGCAATGGGATAAAATTCTGTCAAACCATATCAAAATTTGAATTTGGGTATAATGTAAAAAGGAAGTAGTTTGACTTCACGTTCCAATGTTTGAACCTTGATGTACGTGGCCAATTTTTTTTTTTTTTTTTGGTTGGTCCTAGTCAACCTAAGTAATGATGATTATTTGGTGGTCGTGCGATGCGTCTGGTGTGACGTAGACTTTAGAAAAACATTTTCTTTATCGTGCCAACGTTTCGACCTTTATTGAGATCATCTTCAGGGCTCAAAGTGTTTGTTTCCGTGTTGATGTGTCATTCTTGTCGTGTTGAGTGTGCCAACGAAGAACATGGGATGGGGATTACTAATTAATGATTTAAAATGACATAATTTTCAGTCGTTTGGTCATTTTGTAATGAATCTTCAGCACTCGGTTGATTAGAATCAGCAGAAATTGACATTTTTGGGAGTTTAAAAACTACATTTCCGCCTACCTCTCCACAAATTTTACTCCCAGCCGATCTGAATGTCACTTCGAACTAACATCAGATTGCTAAATTCTTCACTTCTTTCAGTTAACATCCTCGGTCCATCCTCCCCACACACGTCAAGTTCCAAATTTTCCGATTTTCCTTGCAGAACTCCCTAGACTACAGTCTGATTACTTCTAAAGTGCTCCGAAGCTGATATAAACTGTTTTCAATGTTTTGCACAAATTATTTTCTCATTCACTGAAAACTGACCTAAATAACCCCAAACCCACACAAATACCTTTGATCTTTTATAGCCCAACATAGATCCTACTTATTTTAATCAAAATCGTTCAACCACTTTTCCTTAAAAGACTAATTCCTAAAACTTACGGAACCCCACCCATCAATACGGTTCATCTTTCCATCCTGCTGTCCTGACGGCCTTTAGCGTTAAGGTCAAGGCTAGAAGGAGGTTAAGGCTTAAAGTTTAATTATTAATTAGAACGTTGTTAATCTTAAAGCTGTTTTTAATAGTCTAAAGCTTTCTTAGAACTCCCGTTTGTACCCTTCAGGCCGAGGTTATTCCTCTCTCAATAATAGGAATCTGCTCCTGCATTTGACTTCGCACCAAGAGAATGTTGCACTGTTGCTTCTTCCTATTGACAATATCTGCACAAGCCTGGTTTTGTTGCTCCGAGTTTATACATATGCCTGTATAGACTGCCAGCAGTGTCCAGTCAACAAGGGCCTTTGAGTAGTCGGATATCCTCGGCTCTAGAAAACTATTGCCCAACCCTATTTTTGAACGTTACAGAAATATTCGAGTTTGGCAGCCTGGCATCAAATTTGAATTAATTAGTAACCTCCCTCACTACTACTATCTCACTACTAGAAAAGTTGTTCAATGCTGCGAGTAGGAACTATCTTTTTAAAAAGATTGAGCAATACACTATTTATCTTTTCTAGTTACTAGTTCTAGCTACTAAGTATAGGAGTTTTCAGTTTGAACACAACTTGCTGAAAATAGGAACTATCTTTTTAAAAAGACTATAATTCTACTACTACCGGAAGTAGTTCCTGTCATGACTGTGGCTTAAAGTGAGCACCGGCGTCAATTTTCTACGCATCATATAAATCAAAGCTGGCGTTTTACGACCACACGTCCGAGACTCACACCCTCCGACCCTACCCTTGCAACTGAAGCAGTCCAATAATACCTAGACCAGGAAAACCTCGATGAAGAAATCGTTCGAATAGTGTTTGCGACACTAGCGTTCTAAGTTGGAATCCAGGGAGAGAGCTTGGCAGTTTCATCGATAATAATATAAAAAAGCAATATGCCATTTTGTCTTTCGTTTTTATGATAATGATATATTATATAATGACCATCACATGTAATGAAGTATTGGAGTTAGGTCATCCGTTTTGGACACCCAAGGAACATTTACATTTTAACAAACCACTCTAAAAAATAAAGCGAGTATGCCCCTTTCAGTATAAATATAACAAAAGTAAGTAAAATGTGATTTAGGTCGTGTTTAAATGAGTAATGAAAATGAAACAAACAACCGATATTGTACCAAACAGAAATATTGCCTTATTCGGTGTTTTAATTTTAAAGCAGGGCTCAACTTTTTGAAACGAGCGAGGCCAGGCCGTCCAATCGGGAAAACGGGAGATCCGCACCAATTTTTATATTTTACGCGTGAGAAACCTGAGCGCTTGGGCGAACGCATGGACACCGCTTGACCTCCAAAAACCTCCCATAATTAAAAAAAAAAGCCGAGTTAGACTTTCGCGGCCGAAATAGGATGAAATGCTCTGTTAAGTAGCGACTTAGCTCGTTAGAAATTCTGGCGTTGCCGTTTCCTTCAATACCGGGATTTCGGTAATTTATACGCTAATTATATGTAAGAAAAAGAAGCGAAGAATAACAACTAGATTATTTGGTTTTTTTTATCGGTAGAACATGAACTAGTCGAGAAACAAATGAAAATATTTGTACTAAAAACTTTGTATATCTGGTTTTACCCTCTCTCTATCTCTCTCTCACTCTCACTCTCTCTCTCTCTCTCTCTCTCTCTCTCTCTCTCTCTCTCTCTCTCTCTCTCTCTCTCTCTCAACCATTCTCTCTCGACCTCTCATTATCTCTCTCTCTCTCTCTCAACCATTCTCTCTCGACCTCTCATTATATGTGTTTATGTTTTATACTTTCTAATTATTATATCTTATTACTTATTTGATGGCAATTGGTGGGTTGTTTTACAAAAATCAGTGTATACAAATAAGATGGAAAAAACATTCAGAGTAAAAAGACATGAATATAAAAATAAATATGATAAAAATCCATATTTCATTCATCATTACGATTAATAAAAGTAACAAATATAGTTTATTCTGAGTACAAAAACGCAAAACATAACAACAGCAATTTAAATCTGAAAAAACTAAATGAAATGTAAAACAAATAAGGAAAATGAATAACAAAATATACAAATTTCTTCCTCTCTCTCTCTCTCTCACTCTCTCTCTCTCTCTCTCTCTCTCTCCCCCTCTCTCTCTCTCTCTCTCTCTCTTTCTTGATATATATCTGTATATTTATTTATCTAACCATCAATCTCTCCCAACACTCTAACTGTGTCTTTCTATCGCTCTATAACTCTCTCCCACCCACCCTCTCTATCACACCCTCTCTCTCTCTCTCTCTCTCTCTCTCTCCCTCTCTCTCTCTCTCTCTCTCTCTCTCTCTCTTGTCACAGAAACATATGGACAGTTTTTGTTTTGCTAATTTTTTGGATTTTGCTTTTCGCTCTTATTTCTTTACGTCCATTTTTCGAAATATGCCTTAGAATGGTAAAGGAAAGATTCCCGTATCATTGAAAAATGATTCAATTTCAATTTTATGTATATTAATATAAACAAATCGTCATTAATTATGACGATCTCGATTATATTTTACGACAAAAAGGAATATATATTTAATGTGATGTGTAGGGATAGTCCTCGAATAAAGTAAATCTAAAAGATAAGATTTAAAAAAGTAATAAGAAAAAGAACGATAAGACATTTAATGAAGAAAATTTATAAAAATGCCTTACCCAAATGTTGTTGCCATATTTCTTTAATAAAAGAATTATAAATAAATAAAATAAAATAAATCGATTCAATAAATATAAAGACTTCTGTGTGAAATCCCAAAAAGCTAGACTTCAGGCTTAGTTTGCACGCGAGCTTTCGTTCTTTACTCCAAGCATCCAATACGCCATCCTACGTTTTGAAGCTTTTTTCAAGTTTTTAAAATATGTGTTATACAAGGTGAGTTTAACTTCTGTTGTCCCCCCTTAAGTTCTTTTATTGGGGCATTTTTGTGAAAAACCCCGACACACATAAATTTATTTTTTGTCAAGTTTGTCATGGATCGAAGCATTGATCTAACTCGTCAGGATAACGGGGTATGGATAGGAACTAAATTATTTCAAAGAGCAACATGTGGTGAGCACCAATTCAAACTTTTTGGAATGGTTTTTGACTTTGAATTAAACGGAGAAATCGGTTATTAATTTGGGCCAACAAACTTTTCACTCTAAGGAATTCTTAATAAATCGACTTAATCGGGTTAATGAAGCTATTTTCAAAACCTGATTTTAGTCGCAATTAAATGCGAATCAATAGTTATTGACGACTTTTCAAAAATCGGAAAAATTTAAAGGGTCAAAAAATCAATAAATTTAAATTCACACAAAAATGTATGTATATTTAGGGAGGTGTTAAACCAAAATTTCACATTAGTTTTACAAAAAATAAATAAAAAATAAAATAAAAAATGTAAAAAACCGGAAAATTACTACTTTCAAATTTTTTTTGGCGATACCAGGGCCTATTCACAACAATGGCGATATTTTGGAGCATAAATCACCAAAACGTTTGGTCTAAATCCATGACCCATCAACCTGATTGCGTTAGGTTAAATTATAGTTCACTATTTTTCGTGGTCCGCTTGACCAATTAATATCATTCAATTAATTAAGGTTTTTAATTGAGATAAAAAGGCAGTGTCAGGAGCGGGATTCGAACCGACGACCTTCGGCTTGATACTCTGCTACTCCACCACTTGAGCTATCGTGACTTCGATCCGCGGGGCACCAACTTCTCATCTCAACCCCACTTTTTTTAATTTTCCCTCCTTTTTGCCAATTTAAATTTTAGTATGATGAACATCAATTTAAGTACAGTGTTTATGTAAATTTAATTTCTTTTTAAATATTCTGTCAAATATTTTGTGTTTATGTACATTTTCATATTGACAGGTTTCGTCTTTAATTTTGTACAATGCGTAGATACAATATGTAATTATCAAAGTTAAATATGTTTGTACTTATCAATACTTAAATCATAAATTGTAACTTTTGTTGTTTAACTATAACGTTCAAATCCAAACCTCTCTTGCTTTAATTTTTCTAGGTTGGTTTTTAAATTAT